TAATCCCAACAGCTCTAGTTTCAATTACCATAAAGCTGATTGGGAGCAATATCGATCATTTATGGAAGATAACTTCGATTCAAACATACCATTGCACACCAAAGATGAAATTAATTATGCTCTCTAATCTCTGACTACTTCTATAGTTGAAGCAAGAGCTGCCTCAGTACTAAAATGCGAGGTTAAATTCGATTAAATTATAATAGACGACGATATTCAGCTCTTGATACGTCTTAAAAATGTCCGTAGGAGACAATATCAAAGAATACGCGATCCTGCCATGAAAGTTATCTGGCGAGATTTGCAAAAACAAATTAGAAAGCACCCTGAGGAACAAAACTTTTTAAAATAATGTGCCCGAGTGCCAAACCCTCTCAACCAAAAAATTTTGAAAAAAAAACCCTAAAAGCCTATTCCAGTGTTTAAAGAAGGTGGTAAAATTTTTAACACAAATTTGGAAAAAGCTCAGAAACTTGCTAAGCAATTCGAGAGTTCCCATAATTTCAGTTTGGGTCTTACTAGTCCTATTGAGAATCAAGTTGCTCGGGAATCTGAATATTTTCTCTTGGGAACATATTTTTGATGATTCCTGATTTGGACGAAGTTTCAAAATATGAAAGCTCCAGGTGATGATGGAATTTTCTATATCCTCATCAAAAAACTCCCAGAGAGTACCTTGTCTTTCTTGGTAAAATTATTTAACCGATGTTTCCATTTGGCATACTTTCCTGATAAATGGAAAAAAGCAAAAAGTTCAAGAGCTTTGAGTGGGTGTATTTCTTTTTAATTCCGTTATAATGGCTTATATTTTGACAGATACCCGTATTTCGTCTACAACTTGCAGACTTCATCCGTGCCAACTGCTCAACACCACTTGGCACGGATTAAGTCTGCAAGTAATAGACGACATACGGGTATCTGTCAAAAGATAAGCAATTATATCGGAATTTAAAGGAAATAAACCAATCCACTCAAAGCTCTTCATAAACGGATTCTGTTAAGAGGTTCGACAAATTTAAAGGATTGCAAAAAGTTGTTCCAATTTTGAAGCCGGATAAAAATCCAGCTGAAGCTTCTTGCTACCGTCCAATAAGTTTGCTTTCTTCAATAAGTAAACTTTTTGAAAAAGATAATTTTAAATAGAATGATGCTTAACATCAATACGAACCCAATTTTTGCAGATGAGCAGTTTGGATTTCGCCATGGGCATTCAACTGTTAAGAGTTACAAATTTAATTCGTTCAAACAAATCTGAAGGTCACTCAACTAGAGTTGCTCTTCTAGACATAGAAAAAGCATTCGACAGTGTTTGGCATGAAGGTTTGATTGCATAATTAGTTAGAGCAGGAGTTCCTCAGGGTAGCATTCTTGGGCCTATATTGTATAACATTTTCACTTTGGACCTCCCTGATTTACCTCAGGGCTGCCACAAATCTTTGTTCGCTGATGAGACAGACATTTCCGCTAAAGGAAGAAGTCTGCTTTGACAATAACAATGTAAACACGCTTAGATATATATAATATCAATTAAGGCTGCTAAATTACTTTAATCGCTTAAATTTTTCAAATTGCCTTTCATCCTCTATGGCCTGGGTTCAATCCCAGGCGGTTCCCCCGGGATTTTCTGAGGCATAAAACCTCTGATCACCTATGCCTTTGGAATGGAAGTTGGTTCCCGGTCCATAAATTGATGATCGAAATAAAATCGACGGAAAACAAATCATGGAAACTAAATTATCAGTTTCTTACCACGAGTTACTCTATGATACGTGAAGAGGTCCTTGGCATGGTGATTTTCTCACCCTTAAAAGTTCTTTTCTGACGCAACGTGAGGGACAGAAATTCATCCACTTCTCCTACATACTACTCATGGAACATTTGTCTTTAATCCCATTATACTTTGTTTTCCTTTTAGCACATTTTTAAACCCAGCCTTAAAATATATATATATATATATATATATATATATATATATATATATCTATATATATATATATATTCCGGATAATAGGGTAGAGCTCTACTTCGTCGTAATCGCCCATTACCGTTCTATCGATCAGAAAATATCAATAATATCAATGATTTCACTGTGCACAAATCACCGTGCACAACATAAACCCTGTTGGAGCCCATTGTATGAATATTTACGTTCTTTGTTCTCAAAACAAAAGAAGCGCTCCTAGCGAATCCCCTTTTTCTACGTTTATCCGTAGGACGAAGAAAATCTAATGGCGTTTCAATGTGTTAGGACGGAATTGAAACTCATACAACGAATATATAATCAAGAAGCAGTATTAGATTTTAAACAATATCTCAACAATTTGTGACTATTTATCAAATCCAACATGGAAAGGTGAATAAATTTAGAAGTCATATTTCACAGAATTATTCCATTTTCTGTTCAAACACGTTAAAAAAGAGAGGTTAAGTGCGGGTTGTGCTTAGTAGGACGGAAATTAGATCGAAACCCTACGTTTAAAGAAATACTAATTCGCGTCCTCCAGCAGGAAATCGTAAAACAACGCTTTCACCTCCGAAATTCTGTAAGCTAGTTGCATCTCCATTGCAATATCAGCAACCTCACCATACTAAAACTTCACTGAGAAGCTAATTTTCTGAGCTAGACTGCCTATCGACTGTTGTAAATTCCACTACTTATTTGATAAAACTACGGATTTTGACAACGAAAAATCTTACAATAAGATCAGGTCAGTTTGTAATCAGGTCATCAGGTCATCAACAAAGTAATCGCAAATCTGTCTCATTCTGAAATTCAATCGTTCAGAGTTCAAGTTATAGTTCTGCATTTTGAATTGCCGTATTTTTCGCTGATATTAAAAAAAAAAAAACTTTCAAGCTTGATTGCAACATGAAAAAAAAAAAGAAAATTTCAATAAATTTACTACGATTTTTCAAAACTTAACATGGGGATTGCAGTTCAACTGCCATTTTTTCAATGCCTACGTTTTCCATATGGGACTGATATGCGATAATAGGCAGCAACACTATAGTTAAAATGTACCGATCAATTTCTAAAGCATGAGCATTGAATTTGAATGTACCCCATTAGGCATAAATACGTTAGGCATAGTTTACGTTAAGCATAATGGACACTAGGCATAAAATACCTTACTGCTGTGCAACTCTAAAAACCTGTTTCTAGCTTGGTAAACAATGCTTAAATTAGGCTACGCGTTGAGTAAAAAATGATACAAGCTAAACAAACATAGTTTATTTAATATGCACAGTTTGGACGTAGCTACATATTTACTTAGACCCAAGATTAGTTGCGATAGCGTTTAAGTAGTCTGGCAATGAAAACTCAGCATAGTTTTGAACTATACCTTGAAATCAATCGAATCTAGAAATAAAAAATCACACATTTGTTGTAATATATTCTTACACACAAATTGCAATTGTCAAAGAAGAAAAGGTTTTCCAAAAAAAAATAAATAAAAAAACAGCTCATGAAATAAAGAATGGTGAATTCTGTGATTTTAAATTCAATAACAAAAAAAAAAAAAAAACAGCAAAGGTTGAATAAAATATGATGCCAAAGAACAGTTCATGAAATGAAGAATGGTCAATTCTGTGGTTTTTCATTCAATAACAATAAAACATACCTGCTGCTTCCAGGATTTCCTGCCATACTTTTCGATACAACGATTCTGTTTTTGCTGTCATCAGAATGAAAACTAGCGGAACCGTCTGCTGATGTGAGGGACCGATACTTCCATGAACAGTGACGAGTTGCCGAAACATACATATAATTGTGGCAAACATACAATCTGCAACTCAATACTTTGCCTGTCCAAGCAAGTTTTAATGAGTCCCAAAAATTAAGGCTCTTTCGTTATTGTTACCGAGTTCAGTAATCAATAGACGATCCCCATTATCATCCTTCTGGAATTCATCTGGTAGATTATGCCCAACGTCCATTATGCCTATCGTACATTATGCCTAACGTCCGTATGCCTAAAGACCGTATGCCTAACGTCGTCGTGTATCCTTGAATTATTCGAATTACTCATGAAAATAACCCTAAATATATAGGAATGACAAAAAATGGGATTGAATTCACAAGTTTATGCTCGGTAAGCAAAATCGGTCGCTGGTAATCCACCAAGCTCCTTTCATCACAACAAACTTTTACGGCTAACGATCACTAAAGCCTGGCAACATGAAGCTATTCAAATGGCATCGATTTTGCCCGGATTTATATAAACAGATAAATTTGATAAAGTATGGTTGATTTTAGCAATAGATGTCGCTGGGAGTAACGTTATGTCATTTTTTTTAAAGGCAGAAACCGGAATACACCTCGTTAAAAAAAACAATATCGCATTAGATTGTAAAATTATATTACATAATTTCGATTTTTATTGTTGTGATTTTCACCGGCTGTTCAAAGGATCAAGGAACATTTTTAATTTTTTTTATGTGTCGTTTCATCAATTTTAAAGGTGCATACATAGGGCTGCCTTTAATAAGCGAACGTTTAGTGTAATTGATTATGTCTTAGGTCCAAGACGATGAAGCATTTCAAGACCAAATGCAAGAATACTTTAGATTAACATAAAATTTCTACGGAATTAAAAAGGGTGTTTGTTATCCTAGGTATCTCCAGTAACTACAATGCGTAGTCGAAACATAATGAAAGTTTTGAAGTTTTGTCACTCCCAGCCATACGTTTCTTGCTTATTTCCTTCCAAAGGAAGACGTGACCAGAGATTTTTCGCCTCAGTAAATCACAACGACCTCGGCTGGGATTGAATTGGGACCAATTGGGGTGAAAAAGCAGTCACGCTTACATCTTATGACCGTCGCCGTGATGGTTCTGTCAATTGAAGTTTCAACGGTACTGGATATGACAACGTTTATATGAACTATTTATCTGAAACATCGTTTGATGCAAGAAATGAGATTATTGTGAACAACATGGGCGCAATCGCTTTAAAAAATGACGGTAATTGTTAAATGGATTTCGAAATTCTACTCACATCTTTCTTTTCCTTGGTAAACAAATATTGCGGAGATTCGGGTAGGAACATACACCCAACAGAGAATAAAATGCAGAACGCTAACGCGATGTAAGTGACTGTAAGGTATTCTAAATAGTAACATAGGATAAAACCTAACAGTATGCCAATATTGCAAGTGATGGATAAAACGGCCCCCAGGCTTCCGCGGATTCTGCGAATGAAACATCAAGCAAGAACGAAAAGGTAATTCATCAATATCGACACAAATGATCCTCCCGCTCTAGAACCTTACCTATCCTCCGAGATTTCCGACACAAACATAGGTATCACGGAGAATGTACCTCCGCCGGCAAAGCCACCCAAAATCCTAAACGTGTAGATCATGTTTAGATTTGAGGCAAAGATGACGATAACCCAACTGGCCTGTTGCAGAGCAAGATAAGAAAAGAAAGTCGTAAAAGTAACCGTTATAACCTTGATCTAAGGGGCATGGTACTTACCAGCTGCGTCACGCCAATGAGCATTAGTGCGGCCTTCCGGCCGGCGATTTCGGCCACCCAGCCGCAAATGAGTACAGCGATGACACATCCTACCGTTCCGATCGAGCCGATCCAGCCGGCTTCGGAAGAACTAATCGGGCCGGAACTGAGCGGTGTGGCGGGAGACAACAGCAGCTCCAAGTTTGGTGACAGCCAGCCGATGGACAAACCGTATATGAGTGTGGCGAGGTTTGCTGCAAAAGACGCGAGAAGAGGAGGAGAGAAGGTGAGAAAAGGAAAGTTTTGGCATTAATTCGCGATTAGGAGAGGGCGATGCGATGAACTGTGTGTGTGTGAACGTTTGTCATTCACAGAAGACAATTTCGTACTTGATAGAGAAAGAGAGTCGACAGTGGTAGAGCATGTGGTTTACATTTTAATGTGCCTAAATTGTGACTTTCGCCATCTACTTATGTATTTTGATAGACTTGTGTGAAATCATGTTGGTAAGCACGCAATGAAATGACATTATATTTATATCCACATTCGTTTCAGCCTCACAACGATTCAATTGATTTTCTTTTCCTTGATTTGTTTCCCATCGTTCTTGATTTCCGTGGTGAGCACCAATGCTACCGATGCCAGTGAGGCAGCTCCCACACCTGGACCCTACCTATCGACCCATCAACTAATGAACCGGGGATCAACGGCTTTACTTTCCTGATCAGAGATGTTATGCGTCAGAACATCCCGGCGGTGCCAACTGGGATTGAACCAAGGCCTGTTCGGGTGAGAGGTAATCACGCTTACCACTACGCTCAATTGAAATTTTAAATTAAATAAAAAGTCATGCTATTCTTGGTGCAAAATTCAATGAAAATATTTCAATACCATCAGACCACTCTCAAGGGTAAGTTCAACTAGTTCATTGTAATTTACAACCATTTCCTCAGACAGTAGCAAATGTTAGAGATAAGACTGCAGTAAAATCGTATACATCATCATCATAAGGGCAAACATCTCGGCAATTCACAATGGAACATCCTGCTGCTTGATTTACATCGTAATATTTCACCGAGATTTAACTCTTCGAGCACCAAACCAAAATTGCATTTTTAATCATTTTTCGTCGATAATTTTCAAAAGATTAATGATGTTTGCATAGACCCCTATGGTAACGTAACATCAAAACGATGCAGCTTCTTAAAAAAAATTTCTTTAAAATTCTAAATTTCTTTAGAAGCTTCTTTCTGAAGCTCATTCTACACGGCAAATGAAAACGACCCAATTTTGAGTTTAGATTATACATAAATCACATAAAGTGTAGGAACTCAGCGATGAGTAAATTTGCTTCATGCTTTTCCCGATTTTTCCAGGGTCCAGGAAAAAATCCAGAATATGAGAAAAGTAAAGATTGGACACACTCAGTCTATTGGTACTACTTTTAGACTGAGTTTATGAGTGTACTAAACTCAAATGTGAGTTGTTCTCATAAGCCGTGTAGACGCTTGCCCGTCGCAGTGCTCTCCTGACTAAAAAAAGGACGATAAATCTGAGCAGCTATGCAATGAAATAGCTTTTTTTTAAGGTTTAAGGAGCATTTCATCGTTCTAATTAATTATTTTGTCAAGCTTCTACATTCATGTTCCATCAGATGTCACTACTTTTGATTGCGGTGGTATCTATCGAAAACTACGCACAATCTGTCTTTGTTTAATTGTTCACAGAGGACAATGCAGTGCAAAACATGTCTGGTACCTCTATAAATGCATTTAGATAAACATTCGAAGTCCCTCCAAAAAATAGCTCACCCCTCACAGGATTTCCCGCCGATTTCTATGGTGCAGAAAGTATCTTTTTTGCAGAACATGTAAAAAAGGAGGGGCTTCGGATGTTAATCAAAATAGATGTATAGAGGTACCAGACATGTTTTGCCGTGTCAGATATTCTATTTTGTAGCCTGTGAGAGGGAAATAGAGTGTCATCAAAATACATGGCATGTTGAGAAATTGAGCAAATTTTCCTTTCTCAATTTTTTTTTTACTCTCTGGGGACCGGTAGCAGAGCAGGTAAAACTGTATGGAGAAAATCATTTTTATTTAATTGCAGCTGGTTTAACAATAATTTCCGGGAAAAAACAGAACGACAAAGTCCCTCACTAATTTCTTTAGGTTGTCGTTCACTTTTTTTTACCTGAATATGCACCGAAAGCGAATGATTCCCACTTCTCTTAATTTCTCTATGGGGATTTTTATCACTTCCTACCTGGGGAACAGCGCCATCTCTGTGGAAAATGGCCAGACGATATGATTAATTTCAAAAACTATAATATCGTTTCAATCTTTCTCCTTTCTTATGGTTCAATTGGTCATATTGTCACATAGTGGTTGGTACAATTGTTAGTTCAATTTTTGTCGAGTCGGTAGACAAGCCGTTTCAAGTAGCAAGTAAAACTGATTGCTTTTTTCTTGTATATTTTTCAATTTAAGTTAATAAAAATATCTCGTAGAATGCTTCATAGTCAAATTTTTAACTGCATTACGGAGAAAATACTGGCCTTTGGAAAATTTTGTTTAAAAACAATAATCTGTATTTTAAGGTTCATCGAAAAAAAAGTTAGCCTGATCAATTGTAAATTTGAGGAAATAACCTTTGAAAAAAAAAGTGTTCACTTCATTCTCAGTTTGGTGCTCGAAGTGTTAATACTTAGTGTTTATGATAATGCAAATGTGTTATTTTTAGAAAGCACCAACTTCGCTGCAAATAATCTTCCGTTAGGATTATTTTTTTTTAATTTTTGCGTGTACAATTTCACAGAGATGCATGTCACCGAGGCTGTGTTGAATAATTGCCTAATCAATTAGGGCGTTTCTAGAATATACACAGATGTTATTCGGACAAGCATCTAAAAATAATACTTTATTTTCATACTATGCGTATAAATTATCAATCCTAAGCGAATTCCATGGTTCAATATAGTGAATGAAAAATTGCTCATCCGAAGTGACTAGACCAAATACCGCTTATCAGAATGTTTTATTAGAATAGGTTAGTAACACGATGATCTCTCTCACCCTGCTCAGTTCAGGTGGATTGAGATTAAAATATTTTCGGGGCGGATGCTGGTCGTAATATTTAATTTCATGTTCGTAAAAAAGTAATCTAAGCGTGCACTTGAATTGAGTTCAAAACATAATTGAGCGAATCTCAAAATCATCCAATAATTGCGATCACATTTCGCATATACTGTTATTTCAACAACATTCATCATCATTATGTTTACATTTCTCAGTGTCGACACCTGACGCAGCGCTGGGATGGCGATTTGTTTGATGTTCCGGAAAATAAATTGCCATTCGGTGTCGTTGCTTTATAAATAAGCAGTGCAGTTATCACTAGCTCAATAATGGCCCAGCCGACGCGTTTTGAATTACCAGCCTAGGTTGCCATAACTGAAATCAAGTTTCAAATGGAAATATTTGTAGTTAAAATTTACATAATTTTCAGCTAAACACGAATGATTCGATTCAATGATCAAAAATACTATTTACAGACGTACTCCATTCATAATTTGTGCATCGTGCACTCAGTTGTATTATGATTTGTTTTGATTTTAAATTAAACGTGAATTTAATTTATCAACATCAATGTAGGATTCTAGATAATTTCCAAATGTTTCTACACACAATTAAAAGCTCGAAATTCAGCCCCAACGGTACACATCGCAGTAAAATTCAGTCAACACATTTTTGTAGTGTAGCAAAGGAGAAGTTTCATTTGTAATAAACAACTCGGCGTAGCAATTATGGATATACGTTTCTATTATGATATGTTCCAATTATGGCACATGGGATTTTCATAGGCCATAATTGGAATACATTATAGTAGGAACGAATAGCCATAAGAGGAACATCAATACTACTACTCTGTATTATTAGCACTGCAATCAACAAAAATGACAGCCACTGCTTGAAAAATCATTCCCAAGAACCTCTCGCTTGCGAAAAGGGCAGATTCTCCAGAGAGTGATTTTGTCTCGCTCGAATATACCGTGTAACTCACAATTGAGCGTGCACCTGAATTTTAGATAGAGCTGGAATCAGGGCGTAACAGCTTTTATAAACAATGACTTCTATCGATGATTTCTAGGAACTCAAGGCACGCCCACACAGACCAACATAACCATCCGATAGGGGAAGTATTTCCCTACCTGATGAGGATGTTGGTTTGCGTGGGCGAGCCTTGAATTTCTAGAAATCATTGTTTACAAAAGCTGTTAGGCCCTAATTCCAGCTCTATCCAGAATTGACAATTTGTTGAAACACTGTGATTATTGAAATCTTGGCTACTATTTATAGATTTATCGAAATAGTTTTGGCCTTTATTGGCAGAGTATATGTGAAGTTTGAGTCAATCTAGTAGAACACTCGATAATCACTTTTTTATCCTAGTGGACGGATTTAAGTACAATAAAGGGTGATACGGTCAAAATTTGGTCAATATCAACTTGACGTATTTCTTTCAATTTTGCATTTAAAAAACCTGAACACCCCTCATTTTGAAGGTGTGTGTGTGTAGAATGTTGCTCCTATTTTGATTTTGGAATTCACTCTTCAGTTGTCAAAATGCCGTCCAAGCAAGAAGAGCAGCGTATCAAAATTTTGCTCGCGCATCGCGAAAATCCGAGCTACTCGCACGCAAAGTTGGCAAAATCGCTAAAAGTTGCCAAATCAACCGTTACAAATGTAATTAAAGTGTTTGGGGAACGTTTGTCGACAGCCAGGAAGTCTGGATCGGGGAGAAATCGAAAACCGGAAGCCGCTGAGACGACAAAGAGAGTTGCCGGTAGTTTCAAGCGAAACCCTAACCTCTCTCTCCAAGATGCTGCAAATAAGCTGGGTGTATCGTCTACAACCGTGCATCGAGCCAAAAAACGAGCCGGACTATCGACTTACAAGAAGGTAGTGACTCCAAATCGCGATGATAAACAAAATACGACGGCCAAAGCGCGATCCCGGAGGCTGTACACGACGATGCTGACGAAGTTTGACTGCGTGGTAATGGACGACGAAACCTACGTCAAAGCCGACTACAATCAGCTTCCGGGACAAGAGTTTTATACGGCAAAAGGAAGGGGAAAGGTAGCAGATGTTTTCAAGCACATGAAACTGTCAAAGTTCGCAAAGAAATATCTGGTTTGGCAAGCCATCTGTACCTGTGGCTTGAAAAGCAGCATTTTCATAGCTTCCGGGAC